GAGCTTCCCACCACGTGGTGACGGCAGCTACTGAGAAGCTCAAGGGCACAGACAAGAATCAAGTGTAATGTAATTATAAGGAAGTGATAGAGTTTAAGTCTCTATTTGGGTTTCTCTAATATTGTTTGTTTATTTATAACTTTTTATCCTTCAATTATTAATAATGCCCGGGTTTAATAACCTCTTGGAAAATGCCTGAAATTTTGACTACGGACCAGCACTGGAGAGAAGTCAAGTTCCTAGCACATTCATTGGACTTCAAATGACAAACTCCCAACCGCACTAGTTCCCTGGGGCCACAGAGGCCCGTCCAGTGGCTCCCTCACTTGAAGGATGGGTACTCTTCTAACTTCACTGTAGAACATCTTCCTCTCTCTGGGGGTATTTCTGCCCTTCTTCCTGCCAGCCTTCAACCTACAATGGCTGTCTAAGGAAAGAGCTAAGTACTGCAAGCATCTCTGACTGCCACTGAGGCTCAATTCCTTCGCTGGGGAGGCTAGGGGGGGGGGCTCTGTGCTCCAATCAGATCAAGGAGAGTGTTTGGGCTACTGCATCAGGTGTCTGGAGACATGTCAACTGCCAAGAAGCCCTGGAAAGGCTCTGGAATATCATCCAATAAATGAGAGGCGGTCCTGTGGATCTGCCTGCTAGTTCACATCTTTATAGTTTCTAACGCAGCAGCCCAGACCCACAGTTACCTGGGGTTGGGTACAGAATCTGAAGGGTGGCTTGGGTGGGGGCAGGGGGGACAGGAGAAAGGGCTGATGAGGCACTGAAGCATGATTGGCACAGTAAGGTTGGAGGGAAGGCAATGGGGCAATGGGAGCAGAATTTCCAGGACGTGGTGAATATTAATTAGGCTTAGGGAGAGAATTTTCAGAGTGAGCAACAGGGGGGCAGTTCCTAATCTGAGCTGGGCTACCTAGGACTTTTCAAGGCTAATCCATTGGAAAGAGAGTTCCAGGCCTTTCTTTGGAGACACCCATACGTTCTCTTTCCTTCTGTCATGCTTCTCCTGGCTACTTTGCTAAAGAAAGAGCCCACTCCGTGCCCACAGACCCCAGGGAGGGTCAGTCCTTGTGAGTCCCACTAAGTCACATCGCTGGTAGGGGGAGGGGTGGGGGAGGGAGCCCGGAGCTAGCTGCTCAGTACCTCCACCTGTGGCTCAGCAAACCACCAGGGTTGAACCAGCTGAAGTTCTCTTGCAGCTGGGGCGTTAGTTCTGGGAGGTCAGGCCTTCGAGGTCAGAAGTCAGTCACCTTGGAAGAGAAGAGGGTTTTGAATGTATGAGGCTGAAGGTTGGAACCAAATGAACCCGTCGCTGGTGGCTTAGCCCGGAGCCCTGGTGGCACAGCCGTTCCACTGCTCATCACAAGGTCAGTGGTCTGAAATCACCAGCCGCTTCGCGGCGGGGGCGGGGGCGGGGTGTGGGTGGGAGACAGGGCTTTCCACTGCAGTCAAGTGTCACAGGCCCTGAAACCCACGGGGGCAGCTCTACCCTGTCCCATAGGGTCGCTGTGAGTGGGAAAGGCAGGAAGTTTCGGTTTGTGTAAAAGTACTAGCTCGAGCGCCCAGCCCGCTTCCAGGTGGTCTCAGCCCAGCGTGGCCGGCTGGTCCTGCGACAGGAGGACACCGGCCCTTGGCCGCCCGCAGAGGGCGCGCGGACACGCGGAGGGCTAGGGGCGGAGAGGACTCGGGCCGAGCCTGGACCAGCCGGGGGACGGAGCCGGCGCTGCTACTGGGAAGGGCTCCCGCGGGAAGCCCCCGGGCCGAGCGAGGCTGGGAGGAGGGGGCGGGGAGCGGAGCGGCTGCGGAGAGCGTGTCCAGCGAAGGGCAGGAGCGCGAGGGTGCAGGAGCCCCAGGAGACGCCTACCGTGGTTGTCTGGGCCTCAGTCCCGCGCTGG